CACCGTTTATTAATTTTGGATCACTTGTCCACCCTCCCTCCGCCCGGACAGACGAATAGACAAACAGACGGACGAACAAACGAACAGACAGACAGACAGACAGTCAGCCACAAAAGAAACAACCAATCACAAGCCAGCCTCACGACACTCACGTGGTATATGAATGATCCTGTGACAGACAGACTCAAAGCACAGCCAGAAGACGCCATAGCGCACCGATGACGTCACGGACCAGGCAGCTGTGCCCAGCGCGAGGGCGGGAAGTACGCAGCCTGCAGTCTGCGACAGACAGAGAGCCCCCAACATACACCGTCTCTTCCACGAGGAGATCTGCATCTTTGCTGGGGTGTGAGAAACACGATTATGTTTAAGTTTTCGTAAGAGTTTTACGGCATTTGCAACACAATTGTAGGTCATTATTATTAGCACAGAACCGAAGGGGAGATCTGCATCTTTAGTAAGGTGTGAGAAAGACGATTTTTAAGTTTTCGTAACAGTTTTAAGGCATTTTGAACACAATAGATCATAGGTCATAATAGTAAGTCCCGAAAATTAGAGGTGTTATAAGAGAGTAACAAACCCAAAAAGAGGAGGAGTGTTAGTTTTAGTAAGAGTTTTACGGCACTTGCAACACAAAGGTCGTTATTATAAGTACCGAACCGAAGGTTAGTTTTAGTTTTAGTAAGTGTTTTACGGCACTTGCAACACAACAAGGTCATAATAATGAGTGCTGAAGATTAGAAGTGTTACAAGAGATTAACAAGAACAGAAAAAGAGAAGGGGGGTAAGTTGTAATAAGTGTTTTACGACACTTGCAACACAATAAGGTCATACAAGTGCCGAAGATTAGAGGTGTTACTCGAGAGTAACAAACATAAAAAGAGGAGGAGAGTTAGTTCTAGTAAGTGTTTTACGGCACTTGCAACACAATAAGGTCATAAAATAAGTTCCGAGGATTAGAGGTGTTACAAGAGAGTAACAAACTCATAAAAGGAGGAGCCGAGACAAATAAAGACGATAGATGTTGGAAGAAGCAAACCACACCGCAGCACATGCCAACACCCAGAGATGACAATGTTAATGCTAAAGTAAATGATAATGTTATTGATAATGATAATGTTAATGATAATGTTAGTGATAACGTCAATGATAATGTTAATGATAATGTTAATGATAACGATAATGATACTGTTAATGATATGTTAATGATAATTTAAAGATAATGTTAATAAAAGTGATATTGATAATAACAG